CAGACAGCTCTCAGATTCCATCAAAAATATCTTAATTTGTGTTCCGAAGATGAACGACGGTCTTACGGGTTTGAAACGAGTTGAGGGTGAGTTTTTGGGTGAACTAACCCTTTAATATGAATTCTCTATAGAGCTGTTTTGATTAATGTATGCAGTTTCTTTAATTTCCTGCTTGCTCATAGTTTGCTGTCATGAGATGCTTTGTGACCAACACAGTGGGAAATTGTTGTATGAGACAGAGGGACCGTTTCTCTACATCAACGATTCTTTATTAACTATGAGCCATTTTGTACACTCCCACGTGGTGTAGTCACACATATGCACGTTAGGCGGAAATCAACCACATTTGTTGCATTTCGCATTTGATAAATCACTTCATTTGAGGTTTTCTCCGATTTATGTCCTGAAACAGATGCTAATGGAGTTCATTTGTGTGTGTTTTTGCTCTTGTAGGGAAGTTTTACTGTAAACCACACTACTGCTACAGACTTTCTGGTCTGGCACAGAGAAAACGGCCTGCGCCTGCTGCTGCTGCTCCCGTAAACCCCAAGGTAATGACTTCTTTAGCATCTGTGTTTGGGGAGAGATCAATGTTTTTTTTTTTTTTATCAGAGAGTTGTTTTTCTGACACTGTACATTCTATTTTAACTTTTTTTTTTGCTGTAATAACAAAAAAAGCTAATATATTCAGATGTTTTTTGTTGTGGTCATAGGAGCCCCAGGTGTTGGCGGTAACCCCCAACACAGTGGACGCCCCAGGCCAAGCCATAACTTCTCAGGCCCCTGTGGAACGCCAGCCCTCAGGTACCCACCTTTCCTCTTTAGGCCCCGTCCTGTGCCCCTCTCGAGGAGTAGGGGGCATTCTGCGCTCGTTGCGACGAGCGATGTCTTGGACCCGCCACCAGGTGGCGCACAATCCCTTAGATTCTCCTTTCCTCCTCGCCTATTGCGTTTGTCTGCTCTCCTGCTTTACTCTCAACATCCTGCTCAATATTCTCTAGCATGACCCCTTTCCGGCCTCTGAGCTTATCGGGGCACTTCCTGCCCGCACGTGCTGTGATTTCGAGTGATATTGTGCTTGTTTTGTGTATCCCTGGTGATGTCACAAATGATTAACTCATTGTAAACTGCTTGGCTGTATATAATATGTATAATATTCCGAGTGGTGCAGCCTAATTAAATCTCTTCTTTTGATTATGAGTAAACCATCCGGGCAAAAAAGCATATCAATTAAGTGTGTTAACTACTGTTAATTAATTACATGCATAATTTAGAGCTTTTAAAATGTGTGAAGTGACTTAGAAAAGTTTATACTCGTCAAATAACACATCACGTGTAATAATTATTAACCTTTTTTGCCTGCATGTGTTATAAATATTCTTTACTTATTGCCTGTTTTTGTTGCTCTCCTTTCTGTCCTTCCACTGTATAGATCTGTGATTGTGGTGCCTTTAAGTTTGTGATTGTACTAATTTCTGACCTGTGCCCCTTTTGTAATGTAGTGCTCGTATCAGTGCTTGTGATTGGTGGACTCTGTAAGCTTTACCTTACCCCTCTCCTATCAGAGCAGCTTGTTGCTGAGCTAGTGCCTGCATCTGTGCCTGTGATTGGTCTACACTCCCATCAGTCCTTGCATTTCTGTCCCAGTGTTTGTTCACCTCTTAATTCTCCTCTGCATAGTACTAACAACCACTGCTCGTGGCATGTCATGTGTGTATCACTGAGAATGGTTTACAATACAAAACATCCGGTGAGTTTGTGCTACTTAGGATGAAATATATAAAGTGTAAATGGTTATAGTGGTTTTAGCACGTTTTAGCAACATTAATATATTTCGCATAGAAATTTTAGAGGTTTGAATCTCATAAATAATTTTTCAGTTATATTTCACCTAAAAATAGCAAGAAAATAGAAATGATGTTTTGCATATAGAAAATAAAGCTTATTTTTTAGAACCGTTAAGATGTTTTGCATTTTGACATTATTTTCTTAGCTTTCGTTTAATGCAAAATCATTTGTATTACTGTTATGCCTAAGAAAATTGCATTATTATTCATATATAATTTGACCTGTTTATTTATGTTTTTTCATTGCAGTACTGAAAGTTTTATATTTATGGTTAACAGTAGACTTAGACTACAAATAATTGGCCTAAAAACAGAATTCCGTTTCCTCATGCAAATTTTTTTTTTTATACTCTTAGATTTTGGGGAAAATATGGCTGAAAAATGACAAATATGAAAGTAGAATGTGTCAGAATAAGAATATTATATTATTTATTTTTAGTATTCCTCTAGCATTTGGGTGATAAGATCAGATTCGTCTGGAATCATAGATATGCATCAAGTGAACACGACACACTATTTTATTCATGGGGTCTGTCACTACATAATCACTATATGAGGCATATTCGTTATTCAGTGAGTTCTGAATACATCGGTTATAATTCAGTTATGGGTGACGAGTTTTTTCAATCGATTCTTTTTATGTGGATTGCTTGCTTCATCCCTCTAACCACTTCCACCATCACAGTCATGTTTTTTTTTTTTTTTTAATTACATTCACAAAATGTTCTCACTGGCTTGATTTGGGTTTTGGGATTTGCTTCACTGGATAGACGTATTAGTCATACACATGTCCACCTGTTCATTAATGTTAAAAAGTTCATTAATATTAAAACAAAATTTACTCCATTTATCTGAGATGCTTTAATAGGAAGGGAAAAAGGCAAGGTAACCATAACTTGTATTTATTATTTAAGAACATATTTAAAGTATTTTCCTGACAACATGATATTTAAATCTAGAATATCTGTGGAATCATGAAGGCCAAATATTGCTTGTTTAAATAAAGTTAAAGAGTTATCACTTTGACTGTGTTTGTCTTATTTGTCTGAGTGGAAATGAATCCTTGTGCAGTAAAACAACCTTAAAAGAAGGTAGGGTGGGTGGACGGTAGATATGAATTATATGAAATAATAAACTTAAAATCTTTATTCATCTCTGGATTGACGCCTAATGATTTTAGCTTAAACTAAATCAAGAATTTATTAGTTATAATTATGATAATGCAAATATTATGCTAATTACTACCGTGACACCTCTACATACCAGCCCAGAGCCACTCCCTATTTGTTACATATTAACTATTTACATTAATTATATTTTCTCTCTTCTCCTCTTTTCTGTCCATCACAGTGACAGAGGTGAACGGGGTTACAGAGCCCAGCGTGGCCAAACGTCTTAAAGGGACTCCTGAGAGGATCGAGCTGGAGAACTACCGTCTATCTATGATGAGAGAGGAGGAGCTGCAGGAGGTGCCCGAGGAGACGCTGGCTGAGCACAACCTCAGCAGTGTGCTGGACAAAGCCACCGACATCGAGGAGGGATCCAGGTATCCCTCTCATCTTTATATCATGTTGGTTGCGCTGTTCTAGCGTGTTTCTATCATGTGAGCACCACTAATTATCAGTCATTTTCAGCCATTACATAATATAATGAAAACAGTGCTTGTTCATTAGTATTCCTTGGTACTTTACTAATATAATTCTGCTGTAATTAAAATGTGTGGCAACAGTGTTTGCAGTATTTTAATTAAAATTTTCCATGCTCTTTAGTTCCTGTTTCACATTATATTATATTATATTTTTAATGCAGAAGCTTAAATTAAAGTTCATTTACATTTGGCATATGGTAATTTGTTCAAGAAAAGTGACTTGAAGAATATCTACTGGAGTTCATCATTTGAGGACATAGTGTTGCCATTATTTGTTTATTTATTTATTTATTTTACCTGTGTTGAATTTCAAATGTTCTTGCTTGGAATCAAAACTTTTAAATATAAAAGTTTTTAAATATAAAAGTGTCCTAAATGAACATGAAATCAAAATAGTTTCTTAATACTCATTCATGGTCTTATTGAACAAACTTCTGCCATTCCGTTCTATAACTATCTTCACTAATCCTGTTATTTCAAACTTTCAATAAGGTTTTTTTTAATGCCATGATCATTTTATTTAGCAAGGATGCATTAAATTGATCAAATTTGACCATAAAAGATTAAAATTTTTACAAAAAAAACAAAAAAAATTTTTCCTCTATCTAGCTTTCTATTCATTACAGAACCTATGAAAAATTGCTTTACAGTATCTACAAAAAAATATTAAACAGCACAACTGTTCTCAATATTGATAATAAGAAATGTTTCTTAAGCACTGAATCAGCATTAGAATGATTTCAGAAGGAACGTATGGCACAGTTAAACTGGAGTAATGGTGCTGAAAATTCAGCTTTCTATTAAAATAGAAAAGTGTTTTTTAAATTTTAGTAGTGTTTCACAATATTACATTTCTTCTGTATTTTTAATCAAATGGTTTGGTTAGCTTAAGAGACAAGAGTCTTCTTTCAAAAACATAAAAAAATCTTACCAACCCCAAAACTTTTGAACTGTAGTCTAGGTAACTTGTTATTTTGTGAGTAAAAAGAGCAACCAGGGGTCATTTGGTGGTTTTTACTTATATTTACACTTATCCATCCCTACAGCAGCTCAGAGTCTGATATGGAGGAAGAGGATGAAGAACCGGAAGCGGCCGGCCCGTCTGATCTGGGTGGGGTTCCCTGGAAAGAGGCGGTGGAGCTCCACACTAAACTAAAGGGAGGAAGCGACCCTGGAGCAGCAGAAGATGATGATCGCCTTCATGACGGAGATGGCGAGATGGACGAGGATGAAGAGGAGGAAGATGAAGACGAGGAGGAGGAAGAAGAGGAATCGAGTGATGGTAAGATTCGCGTCAGTGCTGTTAGATTCATTGTACTTGTGAGGGTGTTAAAAGTGTCTCTACACAATGAATAATGGATGTAGATGGATGTCCTGGACAGAATGTCCAGTTTGATGGCGGTTCATTTGATTTTAGATGGAAAACTTGAAGTAGCTTATATTCTTTTTCTTTTTAGAAGATAATTTTAAAGAAATAGAAAGACTGTAATGTGTTTGCTCTGCAGAGTCTCATTTCCTCTGTCCACTTCATATCATCTTTATGTATGTGGCGTCTAGCTCCCCTGATTAGATATTAAATGTTCACCAGGGTTGTCTGCTGTCTCATATTCACAGAGAACTTCTAAAATAATTTTTTTTCTTTGAGTATGACTCTTTCTGATGAAAAATGTAAGACAAAAGATTTCCCAAGAGATTGCTCTAACCCTAGAGCTTCAGCCCCTGATGTATATTTTTTTTACGCTGATATATCTCATCAGTGAGACGCTGAATCATTCAGCAATTCTAAACTTGTTTATACTAATGTGCCACTGTTACTAGCCTTTTCAACCTTCTGCATTCTCAGATGTTTGCGGCATCTCTGGCAAATGAACCAGTTTTCCTTTTCCAACTGTGTCTTGTATTTCTCCTTTATAAAAAGAACCTTTTATAACTTTCTTTGACAAACGTTTTAATAAGAGTCAAACTATTTTACATGGTGAAATCTAACAAATAGCTATTGAAATTATTGAATTATGGAGCACCTGTCAAACAATCAGAATCAAAGACTGTACAATGCCATGGTATAACATTTTTTTTAGACAACAATATATAGTACTTGTTTTATACTGTCATATTACATAATTCCAAAGATTTGCCATATTTTGTCAGGTCATTGCTTTAGCTCAATAAAATAAATAAATAAATCACCCAAATCAGTGCCAAGTCCATACTGTAGCTGATACTACTGTTGAAGTCCTCAGTACTTCAGTCTCTGAATGTTATCGGAGGTTCCTTGTTCTCTGGATCATCCTGTTCTGTGACAATATTATTTTTTCCCCATCTTTTGCCTGTCACTTGTCTCTTGATCCTCTGCTCCGTCTTTTCCATCACTGTGTGGATGTGCGTGTGCTGGGGTAATTGTATGGGATGACAGCGGGAGAGTATTTCCCCTGGGACAGGGAGCTTCAGGCAGGTCTTTGGTTCGAGAATCTCACAAATGAAGAGGATACCGGTATATTTAAAGGTAGTGATGCCTGTGGATGCATTTGGCTTTAGCACACGCCGATACCTCATAACTTCATCAGTAACTAAAGAATTATTGTGCTAACACAATTTGCCTGTGTTTCTCCTGCTTTCCTCCTCTTTTTATTAGCTCTAGATGTGTTTTAATTGAATAAGGCTGTGAAGCTTTTACCATTAAACTAATTGTTAATTGCTGTCTTTTTCTGTAATGTTGTTTGGGGTTGAAAATGGCGTGCATTCACACCACCGTGGTGTTTTGAATGAGATTTTTCAGGGTGTTTTCACACTTGCTTTGATTGTTTGGTCTGAAACTGAGCTTATTTCATTACCACAAAGTACCACTGTTAATACTAGCGGCATCTGTTTATTACTATATCTGAGTAACAGGAAGAGAAGATGCCAGCTTCTATGCTTGCTTTTGTTGTTTTACCAAACCTTAAAGGGATAGTTCACCCTAAAATTTATATGACTGACTTCTGTGGAACATAAAGATATTTTGAAGAATATTAGTAACAAAACCATTTTGGTTACCATTGACTTACTTTATGTGGACAAAACAGACGTTTCTCATTTTTATTTTATGTTTCGTGGAATAAAGTAATACAAGTCATACAGGTTTGGAATGACATGAGGTTGAGTAAATGATGACAGAATTTTCATTTTTGGGTAAACTCATTTAACACACAGAAAACTGCATTAGCGTCTGCTGTAAATGTATTGAAAATAATGCATGCAAGAATGCATGAAATTTCTGCGACGAGATGGTATGACAAATGCATTATAGGCCTACTTTAAGGATCAAATTGTTCACTAATTTGGCCTGACTGTGATCCATACATGAACCATAACCCAGACTACAGTTTCAAGCAGACTTGGACACAGATTGCGGTTTCACGCCAGTTAAATGAACTGAACACTGACATCAAGTGTACTCAAGTTCACACCAAAAGCTCAAGTGTGAAATCACCTGTAGAGTTGATTGTTGCTTTTTAAAAATTGCTGTCATATATGAAGGAGCCTTTTCTAATGCATGCTACTTTTCGTATGCACTAACTTGCCACTTTACAGTCTATTCTAAACCATAATGTTCTCCTTTCTTTTTGTCTTCTTCAATGTATCTGTCTGACTGTTCATGGCTGCTGAATCTCACTCTCTGTTCACTTTGCTGCCCATGGGGACTTTTTTGTGGCCTGGACCTTTTTACTTTTCGAAAAAATTGGATTTTCTGTTCCTGACGTGCTAATGGCCTCGCCAATTAATCCTACAAAATGATCGTGTCACCTTAATGGCTACCCGTAATGCCACCATGCAGCTAGGAACCTGCAAATCCAGCAAGCCATACATCCAGTAGACCCTCTAGACAACCACTGGACATCCAAACAAGCTGAGGGGCTGGTTGAGGGCCACTCGATGTCACCCTTAGGCTCTCAGCCCTCGCTGAACAACACCCAGCTCACACAGCCCACCTCCTCCACAGGTAACCCCATGTGGAGGAGTCATACCTGGGCCCTGTGGCTTTTGGGGGGTAGTAGATGGTGCACTTTACACCTGGTGTTAACATGCATCTCATATGTTTTTCTGTGTAATTGGATTTCGGGAGTAAAATATGTTTTTCAAGTTTGTTATTGGTCGATATTGTATGTTTAATATGCATGCTCTTTCCTCTGTTTTTACATTTAGATTGCCTTTGCCATCATCTGCTGTAGCACTTACTTAAATCTTTTAAAAAGACTAAATTAATAACAGTTAAACTGAATTTTTGTCAATTTTTTTTACAGAATTTTACATTTGGCATGAAAATAATTATCGTAATCATCCAGAATTTTAATAGTAGTGAATCCCTACTAGTATTTATTGCTGTTCACTTTTGGCTGGATCAATTGAGATGAATGTTGCCAGGTGTAAAGGAGATTGTTGTATGTGCGATTGCTTTTCAATGTGAACTTTCTCTGGTTTCATCCACAATAGCATGTAGCTTGCTTATTGTACTTTCTACAATCTTTTATCTTGCTTTAATACTTTTTATATATCACACTTTGTCATTGCTGTGACATTATGTTGACCTTTTACGGGTTGACATATTTGTTCTCCTATATTTTGTGTCCTTATATTTCACTTTATCAACATTGTGGATATTGGGGCATTCCTAACTAAGTATATGCCCCTTTTTCTGTTAATTTCTTTGATTTATTGATGAATGTATGTGTTTTTATTTTTTGTTGTGTCTGTGCATTTCATGTACTTGTTCCCATTCTCATTTTCCATTGGTTTAATTGTAGCCCCCTCCCACAAAGCCATGCGTCATGAGACTGTCAGAGCCTGGTTGGACTCGATGTCTGGAGGTAGAGAAGAAAACAAGACCAGCAATTTATATTAGTGCCTAATACACACATCAGTGCATGGCAATACTATTGAACACTTAACACCACTGCAATCATTGTTGAACATTGATTGCATGTTAAAACATCACATTCAAATACAAGTTGATGCTACTGCATGCTGGAGTGGCGAGACAGCGTTTGGTGTGATAGCTATTATCCTTCAGCTTAATCCAAACACACTGAATAATGCATGCATTTCACATGTTTCTTCTGAAATAATACAAATTATAAAATGTTCTTAAAAGTAAAACCAGAGTACAGACTGTTAAATAAAGTCATATACTCAAGTATATTGTTCCAGGATGCGTGTGGTGCATCTGTGGAGGACACAAAGTGCTTGTTGTGACATAATTGCAAGGCATTTCATCTGTACAGTGCAAGGCCACAGAGAGGTCAAAACCAAAAATAACTAAAAACGTTTCTGAGTTTTTTTGTGTCACAGAGAGCGGACACGCAAAAGATACAATAGCCTTGAGCATGTCACAGATGTGCAAGAAGGAAATAGACTGAAAAGGTTGTACTATTCTGTACTATTGTACAGAATAGTACAATAGGTTGTACTATTCTGTACTATTGTTGTACTATTCTGTACTATTGTTGTACTATTCTGAGGCTTGCAAAAAATCTCTACTCAAGTTCAGAACTTTTGTCTGAATTATATCGTTAATGAATTAAAAAAGTGGTGGTGTGTGGAAGGGGGTGTCTCAGCTAAATCTCCCTCTTTATTTATGTTTGTAATGTTCAGTTTGGTGTCATTGCATTTCATTCACAACTCTTTACTCACTCCTTCTCAACAGCTGCTGATTTTGAGCCCAGTCCATTTGACTGTATTGTAAATGGATACTTGCATGTGTTTAAATACTAATCCCATTTGTTTATTTCTACATTTTGTCATGTGCACTCATTGTACTGTATGCTTACTTTAATGTTCCCTCAAGACCATCGTTTATTAGCAACATGATTAATACATTCTGTGCTTGTTCTTTTTGTTTTTTTTGCACACATTCATTATTTAGCTGTTTTGTGTTGCTTACACCTTGTGCGCACGGAAGATCTTCTAATAGTCATGAGTATAGTTTAACAGTTTTTACCTTTTCTTTTAGACTTTTGCCCAACATATTCAGCTTATTTTTCTTCTCCTGTGATCCCAGAGCCCTGTGAAGAGGATGATGACCCAGAAGCAGAAGCAAGCAGTCCTGACTTTGAGCCAGGCACTGAAATAGATCAAGGTTTGTCAAGTCCATTTTTCTATTTACTTGCTGTGATATCATTATGCCTTCAGAAAGGTTAAAGCGTTAACTGTTAGAATTTAATTGACTGAAAACACCTTTCACTCCTTTCCTAAGTAAAATTAGGTTAACAGACTTGACATTTAAAGATAATCCCCTACTGCCAAATATACGATACATTTGTTTTATGTAAGTTAGTTACTTTCAGTTGTCCTTGAAAGGATTATGTTTACAAAAAAGCTTTCCCTTTTTGTAATTTATTTTGATTATTTAAAAAGGCTAAATAGGGTTGACACAACCTGGTGCTTTTTTAATAATACATTGTCTACAGAAATTAATACAGACAAAATGGTTGCTTTTAAAATATGTATTTCCATGTATTTTAAACAGGCTTTCACACTGTTTTAATTTGTTTAATGTCACAGAGGACATTCCCTCAGATGCAGAGGCTGAAGCTCGTTCAAGTTGCATAGATGAAGTGGTGACGCTTCCAGTGGATAATGGCAAAGCAGAGAGCCAGGGACATGTTTCTAACACTGGTAATCATAACCTAATCATAATCATATAAATTCATGCCTTTTCCATTTCTGTTTGAGACTGATGATTGCAAATGTTCATGCACTTGCATAACTTGTGTCTCTGAACACATTACATCAATGTCTTGCTTCATAATTATGCAGGCTTTGATGATTAAAATCTCAACACAAGGGGATTTTCTATGTCCATCAATATTTGAGCCAATTTAATTTTTCCTCGCAGAGAAAACATCTGCAAATCCAAGGGAATTGATTGTGGACGTTGTGCTGTCTCCAATCCAAAAACCTGCTTTACCCATTGAAGAGGTAATACGGGGTTGTGGGATCAAAATGTCTTAGACCTCACTTTTTTGCTTTGTATTTAAAATGACAAAAGTCTCTGCATACTATAAAATTACCATTTACAACTACCATTAGTTTTCTCTTTCTACAGGTGAAAGAAGTTTCTCCTGTTATTCTAGTTAAATCTCCTGGTGCACGGTTTTTCCCTGAGCCCTATCTACCTGATAATGTCAAACCGAAAATTCCCCTTGATGCTAAAAGTCCCCATTCTCCTGTTGCTCAAATTGTTGCGCTATCGCCCATCTGTTCCCAACCTGTTTCACAACCAGAGACGGCGAATCCCAAATCTCCTGGCCAGCCCGAGCCTTGTGCCTGCTCTCCAACAAGTAATCCTTTATCTCCAATATGTACCCAATCACAACCCTGCCACGAGCCACCCTCACCCCTCTCCACAAGCTCCCCTGTCAGGACTCAGCCAGTCCCAGCAGTCACTTCCACTCCTTTGGCTAAACCTGCTTCTGAGAAGAGAACCAATGAACCCTTGAAGGATTCAGTGCCTGAGGAAACCCCCGTCAGGAAAACAGACCTCATTGAGGAGTTCTGGTTGAAGAGTGCAGAGATCAGAAAGAGTTTAGGACTCACTCCACTGGAAAGAAGCAAAACGACAGTGGAGAAGAACATTGTGAAAACTCCAACGTCTGAATCATCATCTCCAAAGTCTTACACCCCAGAGGACTTTTCTGAAGAGCAGAAGCCTACTTTCACAGGCCGTTCTATCATACGCAGAATTAACATTACCTTGGAGGGTCAGGTTATATCTCCGGTGGAACCTAAGAGTAATGGTTCTGAGAAGAAAGACTTGAGCAGCAGTTCTGGGTTGGGTCTTAATGGAAGCGTGACTACCAGTCAGACAGCAGCTAGTGACAGCTACAACAACTCTGATTCTACCATGCTAACCCCTCCTTCCAGTCCCCCACCACCTCCACCAAATGAGAAGCCAGCTTCGCTCCAAAACAAAAGGCCTCAGGTGTCCTGGGACAACCTCCTTGAAGCCACAGAGGAACCTAAACCTAAGACTACACCCCCTAAACCGAAGACTCCAGTTAGTCCTCCTCAACCAAAACCAGTTACGGCTCCAGTTCCAGACCCTAGAACTAACCCACCTGTTGTTATGAGGGTAAAGGAACCGAATAAACCACACCGTGAAGAAGTGAGAAAGTCTTTTGTGGAGTGTGTAGATGAGATCCCATTTGCTGACGACGTTGAAGACACATACGATGACCGCACTCCAGACACAAGTGGTCTGGAAAAATTTTGCACCCCGCCAACCAGCAAGGTCAACCGGGAGAAACCGCCTTTGCACTTGGCGCTGGCAATGGAAAATGGCAAGCCCAACATACCTGGTGGAGTTTCCCGGACAGCAAAGGGTCCCCAAGATTTTTCTCCCGAAGCCAAGGAGATCGCAGAAGAGCGAATGCGGGCACGGGAAAAGTCTGTGAAGAGCCAAGCTCTAAAGGACGCCATGGCCAAGCAGCTTACTAAGATGAAAGAATCAGATGCTGCCAAGGGTGCTGTGGCAAAAGTTGCCTGGAATGTTCCTGAGACAACAAAGAAAAACAAAAAGCAATCAAACACACCCAAGGACTCTGCAGTGAAGGCTTTGGAGTCCAAAAAGCAGACAGACACACTACCTGACCGTGTCTTCACCACACCAACCAGTAAGAACTTGGACAGTTCTGTCACATCTTCAGAAAGCTCAACAGGGGGCAAAAGCAAGAAGCGCAGCTCACTGTTTTCTCCACGCAAGAACAAAAAGGAAAAGAAAGCCAAAAATGAAAGGCTCTCTGGCACAGAAGAGACTCCACCCAAACACAAGTCCCTGTGGAAGACCGTGTTCTCTGGTTACAAGAAGGACAAAAAGAAGAAAGACGGCAAGTCATGCCCAAGCACATCTTCAAGCTCTACAACTGCAGACTCAGGGAAGAAGAAAGAATCACCACTGGACAGGTCCTCAGGTCAGCTAGAAATGTTTTATTTGAACAGCTCCACCTTTGTCAGAATTCGTCATTGTCTATGCTAGCTCTGTTCCAAAATCTAGTGTGAATCCTAAATAGCCAGCTCCTTTTCAAGACAGCATCAAAACCTTCATTGAACCTCATTAGTGACCGTTTTGGAATGCGCTTGGATTCAACTCGCAAATGATTTCATTGGATAATGTTGTGATACCTTTAACAAGCATGAAAGTACATTGCACAAAATATTGTGTAAATATGCTTTTTTATATATACATTGAGCTAGGATTATTAATACTTCATGGTGTTGATTGAATAATTTGTTGCTCTATAATCAACATCTTGCCTTATCCAAAAATTTTGATTTGTTTGCTTCCTTTAATTGTCACAGTGCATTGTGGGTTTCCCTTTTTTCACAAAAAGTATATTTGTGATGCTACTTTAGAATTTGGTGACCTATAAAATGGCTCACTTCAGACCCTCATTGGTTATATTCAAATCTTGCAGAATTTTGCTAAGTTTATTTAACTTGCACATTTTCTCAAAGTCTCTTTCAACTGGTGATTTTCTTAAGCAAAGTTCTCTCTAATTTACTGATGTAGATTTACGTCTGAGGAGAAATCTCAGCTTTTCTGAGGACTCTGATCTCTCCTGTGACGATGTTCTGGAAAGATCCTCTCAGAAGTCCAAGGGTGATGTAAGTATATAATATTTACAGAGCCTCTTTTTTCATTCGAGTCAAATGTATGTATTTTTTTTCTGCAGTCTCGAATTTTAATGAAATCTTTTACTCTTCTCAGCACCATGTGGACCTGTTTGACTTGGTATCAGATTTTTAAAAAGAGGCAATTAAAGAGGAGAAATCCAAAGAGAAAGATAAGGACAGGGCGAAGGAAAAAGGAAAAAGAGTAACAGAGAAGGGCAAGGAAAGGTCAAAAGAGAAGGAGAATGAAAGAAGAGTCAAAGAAAAGATTGTGAAAATGAAGGATGTGCAACAGGAGAAAGGAAAAGAGGAAGAGGTATCTGTGATGTATTGCACAGCAGCTAGAAGCTACTGGGTTTCAGACAGAACATGAATGCAACACTATGCCACTATGTACAGCATTCTGTTTCATTCATAACCTGTAAGAAATTAAGTATCTTTAGCTTTGCTGTGTTTGTGTGAAGGTGAATAGAGAGACTGGAATAGAGAATAGAGAGTGGAATAGAAAGTGTAGAAGAACAAAAAATCATAGTGTCCACCAGAATTCATAGAATTAAAAAAAAAAAAAGTTATAGTAGGCACTTTTAGAGTGCAGTGTTCATTTGGCTTTCATAACTAGCCTAGTTGTGGATATGAAGCTGTGGTCGTGACACAGGTAGTTTGTGTTGCTGATGTTATTGTTTTTTTTTTTTTAAGTGTTCTGTTTGTCCAGATTATTATTTTTTGTATTATTATTTTAGTTTAGTGTTGTTTTTTCAAGACAAATTTGCCTTTGGTTTAGTCACTGATTCAGTAATGTTTTAGTATGTACTCTTACCCTCTATCAAGTCTTTTAGAGTAATCTTTTAGTCCAAAAGGTCCAAAATTAACTTTTTGCCACACTTGCAAATGGTGGGTGAAAATTTTTGGCCATAGGTGTTTTTTTTGTATATATTCCTTTTCTTACTAGTTTTGTTGGTTAATGTTTTGTTGGTGATGAATATTTCATGTACTGTCTGTAGCCAAGTTTCCATCCAGTTTTTGCGCTGTTTTGTTATCGACAAAGAGAATGTGTGTAAAGAAACGTTGCGAAAATTGCTGTCTACAGACTGTTTCCACCCAACTGGCCTTTTACCGATAAAATGGTGTGCGTGATGACGTCATCCCTAAAAACACGAATTGTCGCATAAGTTTTGGTGTATCGCAAAAAATTGTATAGGCCTACATAAAATAATTTTTATTAACAAGTTTCATGAGTTGTTTTTTTTTTTTGTACTTTGTTATAGACTATTTAGATACTTGATCATCAAGCAGTATTCATAAATAGGTGCAGTTGTATTAGCTTATCATTATTTTTCTGATTAACTTTGAGGAAATGTTCATTTCGGTTATTTCTCCTAACCAACATCCGACGGTCGTTAAGCCATTATTAACCGACAAGATTGTTAAATTGTTTTCCTGGGATTCATTTTATACACGCAAAAAGCAGCATAAACAACAGAACGTGAGGATTCACATGGTCACGTCACGCACCTGCAGCGCTTCTGCGAACGGAGAAAAACATAATAAAGCTATATATAAAAGAAATAAATAGGCCTATATGCGAAATATATTTTTCTAAATAATAAATTAAAGGGGTCATCGGATGCCCATTTTCCACAAGTTGATATGATTCTTTAGGGTCTTAATGAAAAGTCTATAACAT